CCCAGGTCCCCCCATTAATTTCCAGTTCAATTCCATTTTCGGAGATGTGCGGATGATGCATGCTGTGCGTCACAGACCTTTTGAAGTTTGGACAAATGAGAATAGGCAAGTGTTTCTACAAGAAATTGCATTTTTACATGTGCACATTTACATTGATGTGTAAGATTGCATTTGTAATGATCAATCCTGAAGCTGCAAAGCCCTTTCTATTGAGTTTGGAAAGCCACCGTGCTTTTTCTCCGTAATTCACACTTAAAACGGTTTCCAGAGCTTTCTACAAATTGCTCTGCTCCTATCACCCGGCTCAATATAAATTACTTTTTCGCGGTTGCAATTACCCACACAGCAGAATATATGCATCTTCTCATCTGTGCAGGCGGTGCATGTCAAATATAAAATGGCACAATACAGACAGAGTCATCAATAAATGATGCGTATGCTGGTGGTTTTATTCTAAGGGCCACCTGCACCACAGACTGAAGGATGGAGGTGGGTTGTATACACTAATTGCCTCTTAAGCTGAGTAGCACTACATTTAATCAGACCACAAACTTTAATGCTTTAGTCCCGAGAGGCACATAATGGACTCAGTAATGCAATGAATTTCTTATCTCTCTCGCAGCTAGGTCCCCATATGCATCAGGCTTAATGGCGTGAAGGCTACACAGAGCGCTCTGACCAATGTAACGGCCATCTTGGTAGCCTCTGCTGGTTTGCTAATGAGACCCGAGCATCCAACGGGGGCCAAAGAGTCCGAGCCATTAGTGGAGACTTACACTTGGCCCCGGATGATTTGCAAGGTCCACGGATCACTTACTCCCTTTTCTCTCTCGGGGTGATATATCGCTCTGAGATCAGGAAATACACTTTTCAAATAAGCTCATTTCACATCCGACCATGCTTGTTCTCCATCGAGGGGCCACGGCTCGATGCGTGGGTGCTTTTTGATATCTAAGCTCGGGGAATAACGTGATCAGAATACAAAAAGAAAGTGGCTGTATATTACATTACATTACATGTTACTTGTCTTGACTTACATACTCAGTACTGTGGGCAATCCCCACAGGAGCAATTTGGGGTGAAGTGTCTCAGGGACACAACGACATGCTGACTGCAGTGGGACTCGAACTTGCTACCCCCTGATACAAAGTTCAGCGCACTGTCCCACTGAGCCACAGCCTCCCTTAGATTTCCCTTAGATATATCAAAAAGATCAGATTAATTTCACATTTCTAAAAATGGGGGATTACTAGAATCATTACAGTGTTAGTAACAACCTAAAAGCATCATATAGTGTTTGGTGTAAAGGATGTTATCTCTTCTCTGTCAGCTGTTCTGATCTGTAGGATAATACTTTCAGAGTGAATCTATTCTTCTACTGCCTGAGTCTGCTTCATGGTTTTCACTTTCTTTGCTTCATTTGTTCTGGTTTTAACTCAGCAGGTGAACCTATATGTTCATAGAATAGTGTGTGTGAGCTTCGCGGTGTGTTAAACTGAAACGGAGCATTTTCTGCTTTTTTAAACTAGTCTGTGTCTCACTGTTGGTGTGTAGGCTGAATCTGCGTCATGAAAGGCACGTTTTCCTATCAATAAAATAATTGAGTTTCTACTTTTCTGAGGTCACATTGTTCTGTTGTCTTACATAGTACACTTCAGTAAAACAAATCTTATTGATATTTCCTTTCCTTTGTATCCATTTGTATTGCAATCGAGGCTATGAAAACCAAAGTAAATGCTTCTGCTTTGAACTGATAATTGCTGTGAGGAGTTTCCAGCTCAATTATTCCTGTTGTGCATTAGAGGACACACATTACACAAATATACTTTGATAAAGGGTTTATGTATGTAGAATTTAAATATGCATTAAAAAAACATAACGCTTCCTCCTCCTGGTTAAAAGATAAAATATAACAATTTGATTCCACCCGAAAACCTTGAAATTGCTTCTCATTTATTCGTAACATTAGTGCAACTCCCTTTTCTCTCCTCTGTGGGTTTAATCCAAAGTGCGCGAGAGAACATTTTAGAAATGCACTTTTTAAGCTAAGAATATTTTTGATATTTGATTTAACTCCTCATGTCCGGGAGTTCTCAAAATGTGGCTTTAAGACGCTCCTTAAAAAACTTTTTAAATGATCCTTCTAATCTTAACTTCACACACTAGATCTTTGATTGCTTTAAATTAGATTTTTTAAAAGCTTTTTTGACTATATTTGATGTCTTATTGCTTTATTTCAATGGTTTGATGTTTTAGTGCTTTTTTGTGCTCTTACCCTGTAAATCACATTGAAAAGGTGCTTTCTTATAATTTATTATTATTACGAATACTTTGATGGAATAAAAAAACAAAAAAAGTATCTTATGTTTTGGTACCTTTGTCTATCATAGTGTACACTGTCTGACAGTTCTGTATATTAATACTGTCTATTCGGTAGAGATGCTCTATAGATGGATATCTTTCCTATCTCTTTTTTTTTTCTTTCATGTGCAATGCCTTGTCTTCAAGCTGCTAAGATGAAACACAATCCCACATTTGGATCAATAAAGTATTACTAATCTAGTTGTGTTCAATGTATGCTATCCATTGTTTGCAGGAACATACCTTTAAGATGTTGTTAGAATAAAGCCACACACACACACACACACACACACACACACACACACACACACACACACACACACACACACACACACACACACACACACACACACACACACACACACACACACACACACACACACACACACACACACACACACACACACACGACTATGCACACACACACACACACACACACACACACACACACACACACACACACACACACACACACACACACAGTCTATCTGTTCCTAATAAATCCCTAACATAGGTTGAATTGCTCTCTATTGTCCTCGCTGCACCACCACTCTCCGGCCTCCCTAATGACAAACACACCATGCAGGTAAACCAATAGCTAAGCTCCATTAGAGGAGACTGTCTCTGCAGATATACACCAGGGAGAAAATATAGGTGTAGGAAGAAAAAGTGTCATTTCAGAGCAAATAAAAGTGCATCAGTGGGAGAGAAAGCATCCTTCACGGAGCATTTGGTTTCCACTTGTTCCTCTGCAACATTGATTTTGTACCTTTTTCTTAAAGTGCATGTTTTATTAAGACAGGTTGTTTCACCTTCCTTTAGAGACTATGTTGTGGCTCAACCTGCAGCACCTATCCACATTAATAATTCACTTTATTTTGCATGTATTTGAAATGCAGGTCAATTCAAATCACCATATTCACCATATGAGGGGTTGAGAGCGCTGGGACTCCATCACTGACTTTCCTAACGTTTAGTGGAGATTGAGATGTGATGTTAACCGTCAGGGAGTGAGGAGTGATGTTAAGACCACTGCAATCGCACAATGCCTCCATGTTGTCCAGGTTTTCTCCCCGGTAAAATGACAGGAATTTCACAGTTAGCCCCACGAGCATGCCTGCAAAATAGAGCAACAAAGAAATATAAGCTGCTGTTGTAAAAACTAATACATTATGAATAATACAACCATATTCCAGGAGTAAATAAATCATGGTGCAGCTACTATAATGCAAAAAACGACTTATGGTGACAGTCCTGTAGAGACATAACCCTGTACAACAAAGCCTATAAGAACACGTCTAAAATACATGCTGCTATACAGATAACACTTTGAAATGCAAAGTTAATATTGCATGATTGAAGGAGGATAACATGCTCACTGGTGAGACATTAATAGTGTATGGTATCTGGAGCAATGCAACCTGTTTGGTGTAATGACAGCCTCAATTAAAAGTGTGAGCCCAATGTCAAGAGGTGGAAGAAGTACTCAGATGTTGTACTTGAGTGAAAGTAGAAGTACTCAGATCTTGTACTTGAGTGAAAGTAGAAGTACTCATATCTTGTACTTGAGTAGAAGTACTCAGATCTTGTACTTGAGTAAAAGTAGAATTACTCAGATCATGTACTTGAGTAAAAGTAGAAGTACCAGAGTGTAGGAATACTCTTTTACAGTAAAAGTCCTGCATTCAAAATGCTCCTCAAGTAAAAGTAGAAAAGTATTATCATCAAAATATAGTTAAAGTAGCGACAGTAAAAGTAGTGATTGTGCAGATTGGTCCATTTCAGAATAATATATATGATATGTTTAATAGTTAATTATGAATACAGATAAACAATAACAATGTTGACTAAAGCTAAAATAGCTAATTTGAGACCACTAGAATCCAAAGCTCAAAAGTCGACACCAAACTGTGGTTATTTTAACATCCTGATACATGTTAAAGCTGTGCGTTCAGGAAGTGTTATTGAATTTAACGGCTTCCGTTTTAATTTAGCTTAGGTTTTCTTACCATAAAACATTGCCCCTCCAGTTTCATTTAAAAGTCTATATTTGCACCGTTTTGATTTCCACACAGTGAGGATGGTTAGAAGTGCCAAGCTAGCTGCTGAAAGTAGAATTAAGGTTGTATTTTCTTGTCTTTGCTCCATCTTCATCTTCAACACCGAGGACAAACTTTTCGGAAACAACTGTTGTGTCTTTGATTCAAGTGCTGCCTTCACTGCTGCTCGGAAATCTCTGCTTCCTCACAAACGTACGGAAGTAACTACAAGTATATATGAGTGAGTATAAGTTTATTTAATATAAATAAACAGCCTTAAGATATTGTGTTGGCTACACTAAGCTATTGATGCAACAAATGTGCATGAGGAGAATCAGAATTCCATTATGAGTCCGACAGCGGGGACATTTACGGTGTTACGCAAACGTTTCATAGCAGGTAGAAGAGAATCTTAGCTAAACAAATTAGTTTGAAAATAACCAAGTGACAAACATATGAAAGTATTGAGTCTTTATAAAATGTGTTAGGACTGTTTTTAACCTTCTGTTCGACCATATGGTAGAGCTTACTTTGAGTGTTTTACTTAATTCCACCCGTCAGTAATCTCTACCACATGTTGACGTTATATTTGGTGAAAAACTAGTATGTTTTTTTAACTATCTAAAACCATGCTTTACTGAACGGTCGAAATGTAATTTAGTGGTAAAAGCAGTGAGGCCAAGATGACACATTTACAATTTATATTAAAAAAAACCACATTTATTGTTTATTTAATGCAATTCAATGAAATACTGGATGACATATCAGTATGAGATGCAAGCAGACACAAAAAGACAATGCAAGAAATCAGGACACAGGTTCGTTAAAAGAAGGGCACAGACATGTTTAAAGGTAAAGTCATTTTTATTTAAAGGCACTCAAAAGAAAAAGGAACTCAGGAAATGTTGCTGTAAGATAACAATAGGTTGTTAGAAAAACTTCAAGGTTAAACTAAAAGGATCCAAAATGGCTCACCATGTGGCATACAAACAATTGAGGTTCTGCCCTACTCACCACAGGAAGAACTACTGAACTTCAGGACAATCTAAAGGAAGCAGTAAGTGAGCATATAATACTAGCATACATGACTCAATGTATTAGTAATACGTTATGCAGACTACCTGTGACAGCAGAGCCAAATGAAACAACAGAGGGCCACCAGGTGCGTTTTATACCCTGCTCTAATTCAGGAGCATAGTCATGTTCATATACTGGAGAAACAAATATAAATTCACCTTTTTTTTAATTACATTTCAACCGCTTGGTAGAGGCCTATATTTAATAAAAAACAACCCTAACCCAAATGGTAAGGTCCTTTGTCAAACATTGATTGTTGTTATTGGCCCAAGGAAGTACAACATGTAAAGAAATAATGTATTAACCGTGATCATTGCCCACTACAATTGGTTTATTGCACAACAGTCTGAATAAAATGCAATAACAACCTAAATCCATGATACATAATAATATTGTTTTGCCATATAGATCACTATTTCCGAATAGCATGCTGCATGTCGTTGTGTCGTTACTATGCTATAAAAATAAATCCGGTGTTTCCTGAAGCATCTGAACGCATCTCAGCGTATCTGTCATCCTCTTCTTGTCCAGCAGATGGCAGTGAAAGCAAACTAACGGGCTCTCTGTCCCTCAGCGATGAGTGAATTAGTAATGAGCCTTAATTAGCAGTTTTAATTACATGTTGGTTTGTTTGTTGGTGACCCATTTTGGCATTTTATTTACTTCAAATGTAACCCAGAATCTTCACAAATAAAAACACTTGAACATGCTTAAATATAGGCCTACGTATGGTATGTGTCAATCATTTTTGCCCTCATGTTGACTGTATATACCACAGCTATGGAGGTTTTATGTTATATTAAACGTGTAGTTGATGGTGTATAGAGAGGTCAAACTTACTACTGTGTTATCTGATAAAGAAAGCAATGGGCTATTGTTTCATGAGGTTCACAACACCCTGTAATATGTATGAACGGTTCTTTTTGAGTGTTTTTGGCCGGATAATATCGTCCAAATCAGGGATTAAGAGCAATGTTGACACCTCTGATGCTGCAGGGTGTTTATTACATTGTGTACATAATCACTTTTCACATATCTTTAGGTATTGTGTTTACATTTGCAATTTAGTGTATTTAAATGATGTCAACATTTCCATTAATATACGTATTTCACATAGCTAGATATATCTACAAGAATTGCACAATTATCTAAATATATATTTGATACTATATATTCTCAGTAAAAAATATATGTATATATTCAGAGGAGTATCTAAACATGATAACATATACAGAATTAATTAGAATACTCCCCTATATACCAATCTACTGAACATATAAACACTACTATTATACATATATATTGTAATATACATTACAAACGTGTGTAAAGTATCTTTAAAATAAGAGTAAAATATATCCTGTTTAAGAGTAAAATATATCCTGTTTAAAGAGTCAAATATCTGCTGATTAAGAGTCAAATATCTGCCGTTTACATCCAAATTAGACTTAGTAAAAACAGAGCATTTGGTGCACCTCGCTTAGGGGGCGGTTTTCCATTCCAGACATGACAATATTAGAATAATCGCTTAGCAACCAGCGCCGTAAACCGTAAGCGGGTGTCGTAAAGTGCATAGAGGCTGGTGTTGTAAAAAAGAGTGGAAACAGAACCCATTGTGGTGTTGGAGAGGAGTGAGCTGCAGACAGAAGAAGAGCCAGAAAGAGGCAATACTATGACCACAAAGGACGCGTGATCTGCGGACAGATATGGACCGTAATGCACCGCAACATGTGTGAAGAGCACCGTGTTTTCCATGCAGAAAGACCCGGTACAGGAAGAGTTAAACCCCGACATCACAACTGTTTATTCCTGCAGCTAGCTGGTTAGCAGCCCAGGAGCTAGACATGGAAAGCCCGTGTGAGTTTTCCTGATAGAGATCTCCGTCGAGCTGTTTTTCTCTTTGCATAATGTCTGCAAGAAGCTGCAACTTCAGAGAATGATTTCCAGGGAGCGATAAGCTTTACAGGACTGCACACCCGGAGAGGAAAGAAAGTCATACAGGTTTGTTCCACAGTTTTCTGCTTCTCTCAGTCCGTGTGCACGCTGAACTAAGTCTGGACTCATGCATGCCTTTTAATTTTAGGATCATTTTTCCTGTAATAAAGGGTTATACCTCTCCTAACACAGGTGGAAGAAGCACTCGGATGTTTTATTTAATTAAAGTAGAAATACTACAGTGTAGAAATACTCTGTTACAATTAAAAAATCCTGCATTCTAAAAATGAATTGGCATTGAAAAATACTTTAAGTACCAATAGTACTCGTTCTGCAAACAATTAAGCACCAAATATGTTGAAATTATTTGATAAAAGTTTTGCATTTTCGTTTATCACTTGGCAAATGTCTAGTTTATTTGAATGCATACATACACTACTGGGTACCTAAACCTTTTAATATTATAATATAATGTTATTTTGTATTAATAGCCTGAATCTGCATAGTAACTAAATATGTAAATTAAACATAGTGCAGTAAAAAGCGGAACATTTGCCCACAAAATGTAGTAAAATGGGAAAGTAGCTAAATTCTTACAGTAGATGTTCTTTCTTCGCACCACCGTCTCCTAACAGATTTCTTAGTTGTTCAGTATTGTGAGCACATGCTTTACACTTCGAGTGTCACTGTTGCTACCTCGGACATGATGCAATGTATAAGACTCTAAACTATAGTATTTCTGGGTTTATCTATTAATAAACTCTTATCAGATGCCTAAATCCACTGATTGGAGACAGAGATTTTAATATTTATACTATTAGATCCGCTGCAACAAAGCAATTTGGCATCAAAATGACACATTACCCTACATTAGCAGTCTTTTTCTCTATGTAATCTATTTCCAGGCATCCAACATAAACCGTTATTTAATAATGAATAGGCCATGACATCCAAACAAACCTCTAAGCATGTATTTCTTTTGTCGTTTGAGTGCAGAACACATTATACTCTTGCAACATCATTGCGGTTAAAGAAGGATTTATTAGCCTGAGGCAGCAGGCCTAGTTTTAAATTGGCCATTACAACTATTTAATCAACACAACATGTTTCTCCTACCATGAATATAGCACTGTCGTTTGTGAGTACTCAACTTCAACAGGTGTTGGTCGATTGATTTGCATTGTTGTTGTTGTTGTTGTTGTTGTTGTTGAAGTGAGAAAACAGCAGGTTGAACTGCTTACCCATCGGACACAGAGGCGTGAAAACGAAACTAAAAGAATCACTTGACCCTGAGATTTCTATGATTATACGCTCTTTGCAACTTCTGTCCTTGATTTCTTTGAAGAGAAGCAGATTACCACAAAGCCTTTCTGTTACAAAGTCTACAACGAGTCCTCAGGAATGTCTGTGTTCAGTTAATGAATAGAACAGGCTGCTTGGGATCATCTTTCCATAACAGGAGGCTAATTGTGGAGCCTTTTCTCCAAGGTTAGTCAAAGGAACTATAAAAATTGTCCGAGACACTTTAAGATTTATCTGCCGGTGGTTGATTCGGATGTGTCTCAGGCTCAGCGGGGAAATGTTGTGTAATTTTAGCCTAAACAGCTCCCACAGGATGGGTGCATTTGAGTCTCTGACCTCACTCAATCAAACTCGGATTAATGGAGCAACATGAGGAGTGACCTTAAATTAAATAACATCTGTCGGATAATCAATTTGATTTCCCCCCACTTCAAACATACTCCGCATTTGTTTTGACAGCTTATGTTTCATCCGCTTTCACTTAGATGACACATTTGTTTTGCAATCGTATTAACATGAGTTTGACAGCTTTTCAAACTTCTTGTAATAAAAGACATGTGCAGCTGTTTTAAAATAAACCATCATGTTGAAGACTCCCGAGTTCAAATGTTTCCAAACAGCTGCATCAGTTTTACCGCAAGGTATTGATATTCTCCTCAAAACCTCCAGCGTTTGGTTTTGGCCCACAGATTATGAGACTAATGTTGAACTGCGGGTGCCGTTAATTGGTACTCAGTTTTCTATTAGCCGTCATTTGTATCCATCCTTCGCCGTCTACGTGTTTTCTGCATCGAGGCAATCCGGCTGTGGCTGAATGTGTTTTTGATCAAACATTATTGACTGCCTCTGTCGATAACCCTGGCAACAGTGGTCCCTCTCCTCAGTTAAATGCAATGAAAAGTAAAGGGGGGGGAGGCTTTTTCTGAGTTGGTTTTAATACTGGCGGTCTCCTTAGGCGTTCATATGCTGCTGCTCTGTATTCTGCTGATCGCCTTCCATTTCCAAGAGCAATAAGTCCTCTCACCTTGCCGTCCATTAGCTTTACATTTCCCAAACCCTTTCAGTGTGTTCTCGCCCTCTTTCACAAAAACGTCGCCCTCCTTTGCATTTCCAGTGGAATTAATCAACCATGTTCATCTGAGGCTTGACTTCATTATACAGTAATGAAGTTTAGCCTCAGGTGCAGTGAAGGAAATGGGTTAGCCCAGAGTAGCCTCCATTATCAGGAACCACACAAAAAGATGATTCAAGGGGGGGGGAATGTCCTTCTCTTTCTTATCTGGAAACGGTTCCATCTGAGTTTTAATAAAACATTGACATATTAGAATAATCCACCGTCATCTTCCCTCTGTCCTGACCTTTTTTCTCATTCTGTTTTAAGCCAACACGGGGGCTTCATCCTGAGCCCTTTCTGTCCCAGTAACGAGCCATTTTGCGGCTCTTAACATCTGCCAAACTTGGAACATTTTGAATGCGAGACTCATCTCCCATGCATGAGGAGTCAGGCATCCTTTGATTCGCCCTCGTTTCTTTTCCTCTCCTTCCAAGCACTCGCACTCGCCGCACTACTTTGTAGACCGAGTGCGCTCAAAAACTTTCTTACCCCAGTTTTGGCAGCGGCTGTTGAGAGGTTGTTTTACTCTAAGCAGGGTTTTCCTCTTCGTGTCGTGCATCCATCTTCCTCCTCTTCCTCATCATCGCAGAGTGGGGGAGGACTGGAAGAGGGAGGCTGATTTAAAGCATATGTTTTCAGTGGGCACAATGCGGTTTGTCCGAGAGAAAACACTGCTTTACATTTCACTGCTCTTGCATCTGTGTTCTACCACAAAACATCTGGGTTTGATTTTAAATGTCTAAGTGAACTTTCACCTTGTCAAAAACCTGAGTAGGCAACCTTGAGCTCTGTACATTCGGCCTTCCTCCCTGCCTGTCTCTCTAAACAACTCAGACAATGGCCGGCATACAGAAATAAACATTGAGGAAGTTAAATAAATGATTTTGCAGGTGCTTGACTCACAAGAAGAACGGGTAATTACCAAGAGCAACATGTTCCTGTCTTAAATGACCGTGCAGCTTTTCCACACTTTCACGCCGTCTCAGCAGCTTGCTTTAAAAAGCACTAGTAGCATTTTAATTCCTATACCCCCCTGCTTCATGCTTAACAAAATAACCGGATCAAGGATAAGCCATCAGGGGCCGATCGGTGCATCTCACTGTCAACATTTCAGGCAATTGAACACCTTGGTTGCCTCTCATTAACAGAAACTAAATGCAGCATGTGGCTTATCCTTTTCGCTTTGGCAATTAGTACGGTCATCGACATAATCCAGGTAACGCACACAAGGTAATTGAGGCCTAACGGTTTCTCTGAAGAGGAGGAGGAGAGCCATGTTAGCCGCCAGCTTGTGCCACATTACAGGCCTTTTCCAGTTTGCCCGGGCTCTCCGTTGCTTTTCCTTACGGGTGAAGATGTGATCATCCCCACATCCTGGATCAGGATATGTTTAGTCCCCTTCGAGCCCTTTTCTGATCCCTGAAAGCTCAGATCTGCTCCCAAAGTCTTGCAGCCACGTCTGTGCTGCGACTGGATGCTAAATGCTACTTGACTTTAGATCTTTTATAACAATAGGATACTCAGTTTCCCCCCCCCCAAGCAATCGGCTTCCTCTCAATCCCTTTCGAAGAAGGCACACGTACTTTTAGCTCCTATTGTTGTTTTTGGAGAGTTCTCCGCATACAGACTTCTTTTTCCATCTCCCAAAGCGTCTTACTTTCTCAACTCAATATGGATGTATCGCAGAATCTAAATGGGCTGTTCCCAGGCTCTATTAAATAATAGTATTGCTGGCAGTGTTTCCGCCAGACCAGGGTTGAGACTGGGGGGGGGTTGTGTGACGTCACGTTGTGTCACGTGACTTGAATTTTGAATTGAGCCGGCCCTTATAGATACTATCTCTTTACGCGAAAGGAATTCCGGCCCTTTTTTTGCTGATTGCTGGTTTTTTTAAACTCATTCTGAGGATATTTGTTATTCATTTATCAAACTGGAGGCATTTTGTTTAAGTCAGCCCAAAGTTGTCCAACGAAATGCAGATTCACACAAAATGCATAAAGCCTCATCGTTTCCTTACGTGTTTTGCTTCTGCAAGATCTCGTTCTACGTGGGATACTATGTGAAATATAAAGTAGTATTTAATAACCGTCTTCTAAAAAGATTAATTCAGAAAGCGTAAGATTACCAATATCAGTGGGCTGTTCATTACGATGATAACATTAATAATGAAATAAATGCCGACCCATATCTTGGGGAAATTGTAACACATTACCATAAAGATTTACAGTAGCTATTTGGTTTAACACGGAGAATGATTTAAGATTGCTTCTATTTCAAAGGATATAAAGTAACATTATCCCCATCTTATTTATAGTGCAGAGAAGAAGAGCATATGCTCACCGTTGAGAGAGATGGATGGATGGATAGATAGGTGGATGGATGGATGGATGGATAGGTAGAGAGATAGATGGGTAGGTAGATAGATGGATGGGTAGGTGGAGAGATGGATGGATGGATAGATAGATGGATGGATAGGTAGATAGATAGGTAGGTAGGTAGGTAGGTAGATAGATGGATGGATGGATGGGTACTTTATTGATCCCAAATTGGAAACTCCTTTGGTTACAGCAGCATTGTGTTCAGGCATTAACATATTTAAAAGGTTGAATAAAGTATAAGCATAATAAACAGCAAATATCTACAGTAGGAAAGACATGAATCCACAATATCAAATGTTCAGGATAAGTTAGAATATTCTATAAAATACCAAAACACAACAGCATCAGAAATATAGACGTATGCTCTGGGTCACATTGCTGGAGTTTCAGATTTGAGGCGAGGAAAAAGCATTAATCATATTTTCCTATTCCTTAAAAATACATTTAGTTCCCAAATGTGGATACGCTCTATTTTTGCTACGTTTGCCTGATCTGCTCGAGGTGTTTTCTGACTGAGGTGTGAGCTACTGTACTTCTTATCTGACGCTCTGCAGACGCACATCTCTTAGAAACGCTGCTCTCTTTCCGCCTAGGGCTCCCGTTTCTTCCTAGACCTCAAACACTTTCGATGTGAAAGCAAAATGCGAGGCACCCATCGACACGCGCGCTAATCACACCAGTGTGGCTGCTTGTTAGCCATGCCCTCTCAAGTCAGCTGTCCTAATAGGCATGTCCTAATGAGCTCAAATTGAGGATTGCTAATTTGCATGGCCCGAGTCATTGTCTTGTCTTAAAGCAACTTACAAGACTTACAAGACTCATTGCTAAAAAGCTGATTGGGGGGTCTCACATAGAGCATTGTTCTTATACCGAGAGCCGGATTGTTTCTTTCTTTCAAACTTCTCATCTCGGCTGATTCAATACGTCTAATAGAGGCATTCAGATTCCCCCTCACCCCCTCAACCAAGACGTTATTTTAGTGACACCAGCCGTTTTCAGAGAAATGACTTCAAAGCCAGAATAAAAGGAAGCAGGGCATCTCTGATCAAAGGTTAAACTACGCACAGCCTGACTTCTCTTCACAATGCAAAGCGTGATTCCTCCATTTGAAGCGAGATGGGGGAATAAATGAAGATTTCTGAGCTCAGTGTAACTGTTGAGGTATGCAGACGGCGTGTTATTTCGCTGTGCCTTGGAAGAGAAAGTGACGGATACTTCACTTCTGTGGCAGCGGAGGAAGGTCCGCTGAGGAATCATCCTCACAGAGCACGTCTTGTTTATACTAGGAGAGTATGTTGTTCACTTGCTCTTAATTTGATCACTTGACACTTTATTTTCCCCTTTCCCCATACTTTTATTTATCTCTGTTATTTTCACAAGAGTATACAAGAAATGATTTCCCAAAGAGAAAGGTCTCAAACCGGCACAGGCTGGTTTAATGCGTTGGCTGTGGGCCATCTCATTTCTGCTCAAAAAACTCTCAAATGACCCAAGCAATTCAAATTTATGAGAATTTCTACGTGCCAGAGTGGGCTTTTTGGTTTTATAGGAGGTATTGGATGTTAGGACTTCAAAAAATAACAAATGCAAAATAACCTTTTCTCTTGTAATCCGTGTTTTTCCGTGTTATGAAATGTGGGTTTTTTGATTTTCCTGATGTAATGAGTTTCCTTCTCCTTTTCTCTTCTTGGTTTCAGGCCTGCTGGCTGGAGGCTGCACACACGTACCAGGAAGGGAGAACATGACTCACTTGCCTCTGACAGAGATTGGCACGGGGCAGCTGTGGCAACCTCGCCCCTGTCTGCCGATCTAGAAGCTAACGTGCTACATCATGACGGAGAGGCATTGAAGTGATCTCCCTGACGTCTGAAAACCTCCCCCATCATGCTGCGCTTCCTGCCCCTCAAAGTTGGCCGCCTGTACCGCTGTCTGAAGCTCTTACTGGTCGTGGGGTTGTTCGTCATCCTGTTGATGAACACCCACAGCCTGTTCGCCTCCTTCCAGAAGAACGAGCTCACCGACAGACGCTTCATCAACCTCAACAAGTGTCCCGCCTGCTTTGGCACGAGCTGGTGCCGCAAGTTCATGAACGGCCAGGTGTCCTTCGAAACCTGGGGTCGCCTGCGATTCCTGGACGTTTTCAATGTGAAGAATGTTTATTTCGCTCAGTACGGAGAGCCCAGGGAGGGAACTCGACGAGTGGTGCTCAAACGGCTCGGGTCAAATCAAGAACTCGCCGAGATAGACCAGAAAATCTGCAAGAGAGCGACGGGGCGACCGCGCTGTGATCTGATCCAGGCCATGTATAAGACTGAGTTCGCCCGGATCAACGGAGATGTGCGCCTGCTCACTCCTGAGGTGGTGGAGGGCTGGTCCGACCTGGTGCACTGCCCCTCTCAGAGGCTGCTGGACAGGGTGGTCCGCAGGTACGCTGAGACCAAAGACTCAGGCAGCTTCCTGCTAAAGAACCTCAAAGACACGGAGAGAATGCAGCTGCTCATGACCTTGGCATTCAACCCGGAGCCGCTCGTACTGCAGGTAACGTCTGTTTTAAACTTAATCTAATCAATATCTTCCAGGTCTCAGATATATACGGACATGTCTCTGAAGTGAATTTGATGCTTTCTTGTTGATGGATGTTTGACTTAACTGTCTTTGAAGAAAACATCGCATCGTGGTAAAAAGGTGTCTGTCGGCTAATCTGTGGTCGCAGGTGTTGTTGATAAGGCCATAGCGTATCCATCAGTACAAAGTGAGTCAGGGTGTCTCCCCCTCAAAGCCCCCAGTAAATTACAGGGTGGGAATCCTCCTTTTCCTTCCTCTTCCGTAGATCTGAGGGCAGCCGTTACACCCTCCCATAAACTCTCGGCTGCATCAGGGCTACATGTCCGCCGCTATCTGGAGCACGAATCATCCTCTGCTTAGAATAGAGGAGGGTTTAAGAGCTGCGGCCTCCCGAAAGATGAGAGATTTGGTCTCGCTGCAACACTGCATATTTAACACTATATGTAGGGCAGTTTTTGAATAATTCAAGGATGCATCTGCAAATGGTCCAAGTTGTTTTTAATTTTGATATCCACTGGACTCTCTTTGTTTGTGGTAGACGACACGTGAAGAGATATCTATGTTAGAGATGTCCCGGTCCGATCACGTGATCGGGGATCGGAGCCGATCACGTGATTTTCAAAAGATCGGAATCGGGAGAAAAAAATCGGGGATCGGGATTTTTAAATTTTTTTTTAAATACTTTTTTTATTTTGTATTCAATGTTACAAAACAAAAATGACCATGTTCAAGTCTTAAAGTCATCCTGAGGCCTTAGTTTTGGTTTCAAATTACACAACATCATATGTGTTGCTTCTTTGGGGCTTGTTTTCATAGACCTGCTTATTTCTCTCAAATCTGGCAACAGAGTGGGCGCAGTGTCTAATAGTAGCAGTAAGCTAACGAGTACTGAAAGCTTTATTTTGTTTTGATCCAATGCTGCACAACTGAACTGATCCAATGCTGCTGTGAAAGAAAGAAGCTATATCCATGTTGGATAGAATATCACATTTAAATAAAAAAATAACCTTAAGGGACAACTTGAATGCTTTTTTTTCTCTTAATGCATTGCATAAAGATCGGATCGGGAAAAATCGGTATCGGCAAATTGTCAAAATCAAATGATCGGAATCGGATCGGGAGCAAAAAAAGGTGATCGGGACATCCCTAATCTCTGTGATGCGATTAGTGCTAATAATCTTGATCCTTTTCTAACCTTTTACAAACCTCTTATCTGACATTGACTAAATGTTCGTACTTCATGTCAAAGCGTTGTATTCCATATGTGTCCTTGTCCCTTTTCTCTCTCTGGTTTAAAAGCAGCCAATCAATTTCAATTTCAGTCTGACATTGGCCGCGTCAGAACAACAATGGTCATGGCCTGTGCCGACATTCAATAACTTATGCTGACCTCCAAACCCCCCTCCCCTCTTACACATAGCGCCGGACACCTCCAGGCATTCAGAGGACAAAAGGCGCGATCAGCCTTTTTAGTCCAGACGATCTATACAATCTGATTAGCCTTGTGTGGTCGCATGTCCTCCCCCTTCCCTTTTTCATTCTGTCTGAGTCATTCTCTTCTGTATTATCCTGTGCGCTCCACGAACTCCAGCCAGATAATTCCATCAGTGTTTTGAATGCCATTATGCTTGAGTTCAGAGGCTTCGGTGAATCACCCTCCCCCCCTTTAACCCTCATCTTTATCTCACACACTAACGAATGATGCGCACACATTGTCCACGGCTCTCTTAGCCTTTGCATGTTTACAGGGACTCATGAATTGTTGATCTCACGCTGAACTTGTGACCCGCGGCAGGTATGAGAAACAACTGGAGGGTGTGTGTTTGCAGCAGGTCAGGGGGGAATGGAGAGGTAACATTCAAAGACAGACATCTCAGAGATTCAGAGCGCATTCATCGGCATCTCTGAACTCGAAATATGAGGAGAACATTTGCCGAGAGACCCTCTCCTATCTTGGTATGCAGTGGACCATAAAGAATGAATGAGATTGAACAGGAGACGTGCTGTACTACAACACCTTGCAGTGAGTGATACTTGAACCAAAGGGTAGAATGTATAACCAATTGAATGAATCCTTATTTCAACTTTTTGTCAAGCGCAGACTCCTAGTTAAACATCTCTGAAGAGACCAGTATCACTCGCTGCTATATTTAGAACATTTACTTAATGTGTTTGGCTGCCAGCGCTGTGGCTTTGGGTTTCTTCCTCCCATCTCTTCCTTCTGGCTTCATACAGTCGAAAAAATGTCAATAACATTCTGTGCCGTCTGCTCAGCGAGCTGCACTCTCTCTTAGAATCGCTTCTGTTCCCAGCCTCCTTCAGAAGCCACGGGCAGTAAACCGGCCCTGTTTTCACTATGAGAAAGCAGACCTCCTTTGTCAGTGGGAAACAATCTGCTGTGTTGTTGTGGGTCCGTCCAACAATGCGTTTTCTGTGTGCTCTGCAGTACACACACACACACACACACACACACACACACACACAAATACCACCCCCACTACTGTGTCACGTGCAATACAATTTGGCTTTGGGGAATATTGTTTTTGGAAGACAGAATGACGACGGACAAACAAGAAAATCCTTGTGCAATGAGAGGCTCCGTATGCAGCTTCATCTGTTCTCTCTCTTATTTCTCCTTAACCCATTCAGTTTTTTTGCACGATGAGTCGGCCTGGAAAGCTCTTTCTGTTACTGTGATAAATCTCCCTGTCTCAAGCGGTTGTCTCTTTGCCAACCAGAGGAATTACATGATGCTGTTTTAATTTCACCTCTCATTCGACGGTAACTTTGTTTGCATGAAAAGTGAGCAATAAATCCCCCTAATCTTCCCCGGCTCCAACCTGATTTGCCATCCTTGGCTTCTCCCCCTCGGCTGATTCATCAGGTGATGGTGGGGTGTGATGGAGTACATCTGGCCCCCCAACTTTTAAATTAGTTTGATTTAGCCGAGTCCTCCCTTCCAGGTCATTAAGCTCGGCGAGCCTGCCAGGAGCATGTGACTGAGCAGAAACATTTTTGGTCCTTAGCCCTGTCTTGCTCAGTGAAGCTGAGAATAGGATATGACAGGCCTGCGAGGTTAACTCAGTCATCTCCTCCAGACTCAGATCTCCAGATGTCCGTCTGCCCCCTTTTTATTACCGTGTCTCACCCCACAGTCTAGTCGCCAGCAGAGTGAACCTAGAAATGATGAGAACCCCACGATTTTATGTTAGAAATGTATAGTATGGGTCCGTAGAACGTAGAAACGGCCAGATGCTAACGTCGTGCATATGTTGGGCATTTTGCACAGTTGGCTTACAGTAAGTAACCTTAATTCAAATGAATGGAATAATAGCCTATGTTAATAGTAAAAAAAAAAACTGACTTGGCCGCTTCTGACAATTTTGGAGGTTATTGAGGATGCTCAATATATCGCTGACATTTTCCGGATAAAAAATGTCGGTTTTAACCAGAAAGTGAACATGTGTACAGAGAAAGGCAATCTGTCCAATCCAAATGATCCGATGTTCCCTAAATCTTCCAAATCGACCCAAAATGTATAAAATCAGCCCACAGAGTACAGCTATTAGCATTTTCTGGTTAAAACTGCATTTTTAATATAGAAAATGTCGCCAAAAAACACTCTATAATTGCCCAAGTCGGCCAAGCTATTTTTTTTTAACAACTGTTGCCACAGGCTATAATGGTAATTCATGCTAATAAACAACGTATGCCTATTGTGCAAATTGTGCAAATTGCCCAACATATGCAAGTTAGCCTGCAGCAGTTTCTATGTGCTGGGGACTTTGGGGTATTCAACATTTCTGGGTTCACTATGCTGGCATCTAAACTATTATTATTATCTATTCACAACACCACCCTCACCTGACACAAAGACACACACCTCTCACGTAACACCGTCTGTTCTCTCCCCGAACACACACGTCCTGACACTGATACTAAATCAGAGATGAATGACCTTATCTCCTGTTCCTTTCTAAGATTCGTTGACAGCAGCATAATGTGAGTGTACATATTCACAGTGCTTTGAGCAAACACACCAGCAGCTTGTTTGAATTTTTCTAAAATGTAGGGGGGACGCATCTCTTTGCTGTTTGATTTAATGAGGCTCTACATAATCTATTACGATGCTTATCCGCTTTGGGAAGCCGAGCCAAAGTAAATGTTATCAATTTTTCTTGGCACAAAGTTAAGGTGGTAACTTTCCTCCACCGTGACCTACTGAACCTTCATTCATATTTAATAGGAAAATGCAATTAAACAAGTCGTAAACAGAACCAGGCTACATTAGCTACGAGTACAATTGGGGATGGAGGGTGTCAAGAAGTGTTTGAATAAGAAAAAGAAAAGATGGATGAACCCAAACTATATGTTCTAAACATCTGCAACACAAAAGCAAATATTTCCAGAGTATGATGCATGCATTTCATGACTGTGTCAGAGTAGGGATGTCCCGATCACCTTTTTTTGCTCCCGATCCGATCATTTGATTTTGACAATTTGCCGATACCGATTTTTCCCGATCCGATCTTTATGCAATGCATTAAGAGAAAAAAAGCATTCAAGTTGTCCCTTAAGGTTATTTTTTTATTTAAATTGGATATTCTATCCAACATGGATATAGCTTCTTTCTTTCACAGCGGCATTGGATCAGTTCAGTTGTGCAGCATTGGATCAAAACAAAATAAAGCTTATCAGTACTCGTTAGCTTACTGCTACAATTAGACACTGCGCCCTGCCCACTCTGTTGCCAGATTTGAGAGAAATAACCAGGTCTATGAAAACAAGCCCCAAAGAAGCAACACATACATGATGTTGTGTCATTTGAAACCAAAACTAAGGCCTCAGGATGACTTTAAGACTTGAACATGGTCATTTTTGTTTTGTAACATTGAATTAAAAAAATAAAATAAAGTATTTAAAAAAAAAAAAAATGTCAAAAAAAAATCCCTAACCCTAAAAAATCCCGATAATCCCTTGAAAATCACGTGATCGGCTCCGATCCCTGATCACGCGATCAGATCGGGACATCTCTATGTCAGAGGCAGTAGTTTGTGGGACTGTGCACACAATTCATAACACAACTTGTCTATAGAGATTACATCTTTGTGCAAAATGAGACTTTTGCAAGCTAAGATAGATGGAACCAAATGTCTGTCGTAAAACTCTCATGGGCATGTTCTGACAACGGTTGCACACGTCTCTAAATCGTCTGCAGGAAACAAACTCTGCAGCCTTACGATCTGACTTTCTGGGTCATGCCTCCTTGCAAAGAGGATCAAAGCCTGTTTTTGTTTGTAGTTTTATTTATTTATTTCCATTTAATCACAGACACGGCATGCTATCCCGGCTTAAGTGCGGCCTTGTGTCTCTGCGGCCGCTCAGTGCCTGAGGTCCACCGGTAAATAGTGTTTAAGTTGCTGCTCTGTGATTAGGACCTTTTGTTTTTGGGTCTGGGGGATTGGGACGCTCTCAGCTTAGAAGAGAGGAGGTTGTGTACGCCGCTTAACCCTGCTCAAGTGCTCCCAAACCCCCTTTCATTATTCTTATAGGCCTTTGTGTACAGACTGAATCCTGTTAGGATAAGACAGGGAGTTATCTGGGCCCGACTCCCCTCTCTTGGCTTCCCTCGCTGGACGGAGGCCCCGGTGGAAAGGGGGGAGAGAGGAGGAGGGTTTGTGGGAGTGTGTGTTGTGCAAACCAGAGCCTTGTGGTGTTTTCCCCCATTTGAATGAGCCAGACTGCTTGTGTTACCATAATCCTTTCTCCCGCTCTCCAAACACACACACACACGAATGACAGCTGTGTTTGGTTAGGTAAATGCCTGTGGCTGAACCCCCCTCTCTCAATACCGAGCTCCTTTTTTTAGATTTCTCCCCCCACCCCCCAGCTTCCTACTGTTACAGCCTAACCCCCCCAAACTCCTGAAGAAGACGCAGCTCTAAAACGAGTCCGGCTCCATTCACAACTCTCTCAAGAGGGCCAATACGGATCAGTAACAAGTCGTTCTTTACTGTGCTGCCGACCGAGTCCCCGTGAGAGCAGAGAGCTTAATGTCGTTAGAACAAGAATATGATTTTTAGCACATCAGCTCGTCTGCAGTAATAAAATCGTCCACTGCATTAAAGCGTCAGCCACCTTAAGAGAAAATATGAGAGGTCAGGGATACGCTGAAGAATCTTAAAGTGGATTTAACTGCGCTTGTTTTGGTCACAGACGGACGCCTCTTATTAGGTTACTTTTTTAGTTGTAATTGCTGCTTGTCGGGGAAGTTGTGTGTGTTCTGCAGTGAGGTTAGAGTGCAGGGTCAGTGGCAGCAGGATCACTACACCCCCCCCCCTCGACTTCCTCCAACATAATTGGCACAGGCTCTGAAACACACCACCCTTGATGTAGGCCTCAAACCCGCAGCCCTTTAGGTCTGAGGCCAAGCTTCTCTCGGGTTCCTCCTCTGCCATGTGGGCGGCGATACCACCTAGACTGAGTCAACACCACCGCCAACTGTGACTCCACGCATTCCTCCCCTTCCAGTGGGGGGGGGCTTTATGAAGTGGCTCCAGTTCAGGTCGGCAAAGGGTTTCAGCTAGCAGCTTAGCTTGTAGTAGCAGAGATGGCAAAAGTACACACATCCTTTACTCAAGTAGAAGTACAGATACTCGTGTTAAAAGTAGAAGTACTGACTAAACTTCTTTACTCAAGTCAAAGTAAAGAGGCTTTGAAATGTACTTCAGTAAAAAGTACCCATAACTAGCAGCTGTTTCAAATAGTACCTGACCTCCCTTTATATTAATAGAACAATAATGTTATTGTTAGCTAATGAATGTTTCCATGCTGAACAACGGCAACATGACAACGTTTTCATTGGTCCCTCTTCTTTAGAGAAGACCAGGAAATGATGGATACACGGATCGTGTTCAAATCAATAGGCACGCAATGACTCTAAATAATAATGATCACGCCACCAAACACACATTCAGACTAAAGGAACCAGTCTGTTTGGAAAATGAGAGAAGTAGAAAGTACAGGTATTTGTGTTCAACATGTAAGAAGTAGAAAGTACAGGTATTTGAGTTCAACATGTAAGAAGTAGAAAGTACAGGTATTTGGGTTCAACATGTAAGAAGTAGAAAGTACAGGTATTTGAGTTCAACATGTAAGAAGTAGAAAGTACAGGTATTTGAGTTCAAACATGTGAGAAGTAGAAAGTACAGGTATTTGAGTTCAACATGT